TTGTATTTTTAAATTGTCTTCTTTTGTAAGTTGTCATGAGTTCCATTTTTGGGAAATAGCTTCAGGAAGAATGGAATCACTCTCTCAGCACAGCACTTTATGATTATGGCATTCTCTTAACTTTTATTGCAGTTTTGACCGTCTTCTAGGATGAAAAAGGGAGAGGCGCAATTGAAAACTTGGAACTGAAATAAAATCCTCCTATGACATTTATATCACTGTCTGCTCCATTCTATTCCTCTCTGCTCCTAGATTGAAATTATTTTTGGACTTAAACTCCCAAAATTACAGAAAAACAATTATGGAAATCTTGCTTTCTGGGGGTTGAGTTCTAAAAATCATGTTTCAAAAACTGTTCTTGGTCATGCATGTTTACCTGTATATACTCAAGTATAAGCCAAGTTTTTCAGCCTCCTTTTTAGGCTGAAAAGGCCCCCTTCAGTTTATACTTGAGTCAAAGTTATTTATCATTTATCATCTGAAACACAACGAGATTAGTATACAGCAAACAAGATCACTATGCTGGTTGTTGTATTGGATCACATGCTAGACACTTCCCATGTGTCTAGGACGATGTGATGTATCAGTGAATAATGCGTGCAGATCACCGTAGGGTTGCCTTTTGGAGATGACATAGTGTTTAAGTGTAGGCCAAGGTCTTTAGGCACTGCACCCAGTGTGTCGATCACCACTGGGACCACCTTGACTGGCTTCTTGTTGTTGTTGTTGTTATTATTATTATTATTACATTTATTATTTTACTCTATTTTTATTATTACATTTACATTATTTTATTATTATATGATTTTACTCTATTATTACATTTATTAATTTACTCTATTATTTTACTACATTTATTATTTTACTGTCTTTATTATTAATCAAAGGATACATAAGCACATTTACATTGAAGAAGGTTAGAATAATGGTTTAATCAGAGTTGGACAGTCTTTTCTTAAATTACAGCTTTATGTAAATATTCAAAATCATTTAACCTACTGATGCCTCAATTAATGTAATTTTATTGGTATCTATTTTTATTTTGAAATTTACCTGTAGCTGCTGCATTTCCCACCCTTGGCTTATACTTGAGTCAATATGTTTTCCCAGTTTTTTTGTGGTAAAATTAGGTGCCTCGACTTACATTTGGGTTGGAATATTCTCAAGTATATATGGTACCTTTAAAAGAATAGACCCACAGTGGTGTTTTAGTCTATGAGTGAATGTCAACACCAAGAGCATAGATCAAAATTCTGGAGACCTCTGTATGTGAAACTTTGCATATTCCTCAAGTTGTGCTGGCTATGATTGATGGGAGTTGCAGTCCATCAGCATCTGGAAGACCCTATATTCCTACTGCTGACCTAGAGCACACTCTACAACTCTTCAGGCATTGTCCATATGGAATTTCCTTCAGTCCAAGTCAACACAGTTTATTGTGAGGGGTTAAGGGAGTTGTAGTCCAACCAACATCTAGAGGTGCACAGTTGCTTGCCTTGTTTCTCAGAGAATCTGTTGGTGTCTCCAAACTAATGGACTAGTGCCATCTTGTTTCAAAATGTCTCCAAATGGAATGGCTCCATGTATGAGCAAGCCTTGCTGTGTGCTTTCAACACTTGCCTGACATTTCTCAAAGAAGCTTCTTCCTGGTATTGAGATGAAGTGACGCTAAAAGCTTCACTCAACAGATCCCTGTGTTGATTGCAGTTAAGGGCACAGAAGCGAAGGTGCCCTTAGATCTTGCTAAAATCCTAATCTGTGTGTTAAAAGAAGAGAGACATGATGCCATGGATAAGTGTATGATGTAGGAAAAAATAGTTTTGTCACAGAATTCATCTTATTATCTGTAGTAATGAAGTGGGGCATGCACTCTAGTCTACTTTCAGATATTATAGTTGCGGGTGACTTTTTCTCCTCACCTCTAATTAAGGAAAAATGTTTATGCTTTGAGAGATGTTTTTTAAAAGCATATTTTATATGTAATGAAAGAGGATGCACATTTCATTAGGATATCAGAGAACATTATACAAAAAGGGAGGTTGTGATTTATTTATTTTTTGCAGTTTTAATTTTTTTAAAAGCTTCTACCATAATATTCAATCCAATGTTTTGTTGTTTCGGTTCACTTTAGTTATTCTGCTCTCTGGCAGTTCTTTCATTGTGAACTTGGATTATGATTTTCACACTGACCAGAGTCAAAATGCTGTTTTGGTTTTGTGCAATTAGGCATTTTCACCCATTGTTTTCTGTTTGCGTCTCGTCTTCCTCGATGGGTTGCCCAGCCTTCTGGCTTAGAGATAAGAAATGCCTCTGCCTTAATTAGCTGTGTGTTCCACTTGAACAATTTGTGGGAAACAATTTTCCTTCAGGAAGAATTGAAGTTTTCCTATGTTTTTCGGAAGAGTTTTTCTGATGCCTTTGGCTGAAGAACCTTTTTTAAAAACGTTCTCACAAGTGTGTCCATTTCCAAAACAAAACAAATACAAAACTTTCCAAACCCCCAAAACCTGGAATAGACCCACTGAATTAGCTGATGAATGTACAATAAATACATGTACGATAAATGCGATAATTAGAAAGTACAATAAATACGATAAATAAATAGTAATTTTTTAGAAAAAACCCCTATTGAACTGTTGGGTGCAACTAGCCATTCAACTAGACCAGTGCTTGCATTCTGCTTCTTCTCCGGGAATGAGAATGATGTGGCCCTCCAGAGATGATTGAATTGCAGTTTGTAACATCTTTCATCTTTGGCTATGTTAGCTAGGGATGCTGGGAGCTACAGTTCTACACAATTACTACTTCTGGTGTTGTGTTACGATAAATAAATGGTAATCATTTACAAAAATCGTATTGAACTGTTAGATGCAACTAGGCATTGAAGTAGGTCAATGTTTGCATTCTGCTTCTTCTCCGGGAATGAGAATGATGTGGCCCTCCAGAGATGGTTAAACTGCAGTTCCTAACATCCTTCATATTTGGCTATGTTAGCTAGGGATGCTAAACCTGCCCAGCTCTTTAAGCTGTTCCTCATAGGGCTTGTTGGAACTTGGAATTTCAAGTACATTCCCCAGACACTGGCAATAACTAATAACCTTCTCGTTGTGTTCTACTGTCTTGGGCACAACCCACCACAGAGCAGTATTCATGCACCCAATCTGGCTGTTTCTGGGTTTGGGTATGAAACTAACAGATATTTCCAAGTCTTCAAGGATTTTTTCCCCTGCAAGGATAGGAAAAGATCTAATTATCTGGATCACTTCTTGCCCTGCCGTCCCCTCAAATGTTTAAAAGAGCCATTAATGAAAGTTGAAACAGTTCTCAGAACGGCTTTGCTTTGTTTGGTCAATGTGACATTCCTATAATCAAAACAAATGTCCAAAGCAGATGTCTTCCTCATAAAATCAGAAATAGGTTTTTTGAAGCCAAGAACATGAAGATAAAAAACTTCCAGAAAATGGAAGGGTGCATGAACACAGTATTACCAGAAGGCCTCTTGAGTATTCCTATTATAATTTATTTATTTATTTATTTATTTACAGTTCTTATATTCCACCCTTCTCACCCCGCAGGGGACTCAGGGCGGATTACAGTAACACATATATGGCAAACATTCAATGCCAGTTTGACAAACAACGTTTAACAGACAAATACACCAAGGCTATTTAACTTTTTTTTCTGGCCGCCAGGGGAGCTGCTGCTTTTCATCGTCCATCAACGACACCGATGAAGTTCTTCCGCATTCCACATTCCCCGGAGTCTTTTTTCTTTATGGCCTCATAAATTAGTTAAATTTATTGAAAACGAAATAATGTATTTATTGGATCACTGTTGGATTGCCTTGAATGTCTGGTCAGGATTATTTTTAGATTTTCTTTAGCTTCTCCTGTCCTCATTCTGATGAAGTCTTGATTAGTAACCGTGCCTATTTTAGTAGTCCATTAATTCCCAGGCTTTTTTTTTAATTTGGTTAATGGACCACGTGACTGTGTTTTGGTTTGTCCCCCCTGTATTTTTCTTCTTAAAGCTTGTGGTCGCACATCCTTGCACTTTATCCCATGCCCTCTCTTCATTGTTGCAGCTTGCACCTACTCCATTCCTATTGTTTACAAGAGTAGTTCCTAACCTGTGGTCCATGTAAGGTGGCCTTTTGCAGTTGACAGATCATGATTTTGTCAATGTTTGTTGTTGTTGTTGTTGTTGTTGTTGTTGTTGTTGTTTGAAACACAACAAGATGAGTCCACAACAGACAAGATCACTATGCTGGCTGTTGTATCGGATCACACGTCAGACACTTCACAAGTGTCTAGGACTGTGTGATGTATCGGTGAATAATGCATGCAGATCCCAGTAAGGTGGCCTTCTGCAGCTGGCAGATGGTAATTTTGTCAGCGCTGATTGTGTTTAAGTGCAGGCCAAGGTCTATAGGCACTGCATCCAGTGTGCCGATCACCACTGGGACCACCTTGACTGGCTTGTGCCAGAGTCTTTGCAGTTCGATCTTTAAATCCTCATATCGTGTCAGCTTTTCCAGTTGTTTCTCTTCAGTTCTGCTGTCACCTGGGATTGCAATATCAACAATCCATACTTCGTTTTTTAACACGATCATGAGGTCAGGAGTATTGCGCTCCAAAACTCTTGTCAGTCTGAATTCAGAAGTCCCAGAGTAGTTTGACGTGTTCATTTTCTGTAACTTTTTCCAGCTTGTGATCCCACCAGTTCTTTGTTGCAGGCAGATGGCAGTTGTTGTTGTTGTTGTTGTTGTTCACCTCCTAACATGTGGTCCTCTCTGTATATACCAGCAAGCCATTTTTGTAGATCTTAACTAGTCAGACTTACATCAGTTGCCTGTTGCGTTATTTAGCGGCTGTTTTCGTTAGCCTAAGTGTCTTGACCAGCTTATTCTTACACAAGTATTTCCACTTTCAAATGTATGTACTTGTGTAAGAGATCTGAAAAAATCTAATTCCTCTTCATTTTTTTCCTCCCTTTTCTAGAGCAAGTCATGGCGAAAGATCAAGAATATGGTGCACTGGTCTCCCTTCGTTATGTCCTTCAAGAAGAAATATCCTTGGATCCAACTAGCAGGACACGCAGGTGCTGAAGATCAAGTTGTGCTCTATGTATCTCAAAGGGAAACTTCACTTAATGAGTCTAGTAAAGGGAAGGTGTTCAGAAAACCTCTTGATAAAGCTAAGATAATTAACTCTGCTAATGTCAATTGCCCTGAAATAGAGCTACAAATATGTGTGGCATTATTTGTCCTGGTTCTTCCTATGTACAGGGGCAGATCAAGTGACTGATAGATTGATTATATAGAGACCCTGAGGAAAATCAGTGGTGTTTGGGATTGATGACTGAAGGATAGAAAGGTTTGCCTCTCTCTCTTTGCTGGGGTTCGGGTTGGACAGTGTAACAAAGTGATGCCACTGCCCATGTCTGAATAGTCTGAATCTATTATCAAAGCTAGTCTTGGACATATCCTTTCAAGATTCAAGTTCTATCAGAACCATAAGGAAATGCAGTACAGCCCAGATAGTATAAAAAAATTCTTTGGGCTAGAATCACCCCAACCAGCATAGTCTCTCTATTTTTATTTGCACCATACTTTAAAAAAACAAAATAGTAATATATTTGTTTTCTTTTAATCCTTTTATTTGAGGTTTGATAATGCCCAGTGTATATCAATCCAACTTAGTCATTCTGTTTGAAGCAGGGAACAGAACATTTAAAAAGTATGTATTTTTTTAAATGCCCTTTTTGTGTGTCTGTCTCCGTCAGGTAGCTTCAAAGCTGCAGCTAATGGGAGGATACTGAAAAAGCATTGTGAGTCTGAACAGCGCTGCTTGGACCGCTTGATGAATGATGTCCTCAAGCCTTATGTTCCAGCCTACCACGGAGATATAGTGAAAGATGGGGAACGCTACAATCAGATGGAAGATCTCCTGGCTGATTTTGACTCTCCTTGTGTCATGGACTGCAAGATGGGGGTCAGGTCAGTTTCACTTTGATGGAGCAGGAACAAACTCCCCAGCCATCGTCACAATAATTCCAGGTCAAAGATTTTCAGTATCATGAGAGATTTGCATTTGACACTGAATGATTGCATTTGGCAGTGATTCTACTCCAGGTATGGGTAAACCCAGGCCCGGGGGCTGGATGTGGCCCCTTGGGCTCCAGATCCATCACTGTTTGAGTCCACAGTGCTCTTTGGGGATGGTTAGCTTGGGAGAACAGATGGTTGAGAGGGAACATAAGAACCATGTTTCAAGATTTTCAAGGGTGTCCCATTGAGGAGGAGGAGGAGGGAAACTTGATTTTCTGCTGCTCTAGAGACCAGGCCACAAAGGAGCAATGGGTTCAAATGGCAGGGAAAGAGGTTCAACTGAAAAGATTAGGAAGAACTTCCTGGAGAGTGGCATAGGTCGCCTCGCAGTGTGGTAGAGTCTCCTCTGGAGGCTTTTCTGCAGAGATGGTCTATTGGGATTCTATATCAGGAATAGGCAATACGAGGTCTCATGGATACACTTTTTCTCCCCCCTTCCACCATCTCATCCTGACCAAGGCCAATCCTTTTGGGATCCAAACATTTCCTGTCCTTCCTTCATCTTCTTCCTCCAAAAGAGAAGAGGAAGAGGGGAAAGGAGATCTCTCTTCAGCTGCCTCTCAGCTTTCTTCTCACCCCCATCTCAAACGGACCCCCTTCCTTTCCCATAAATCCCTTTTTGTGTAAAGGGTGAGCTTCCAAGAGGAGAGGTGCGTGCATATTGGTATGTTGCAGAGAGAAAGAAAGAGAGTGAACGTGACAGGAGGGAAAAGCTTTCTTCCTGTCTGGGCAGCCAATCCTCCTGACAGGAAGGGGACTTGGGGAGGGCCCCCTCCTTCTTAGCCTGCCCCATGCGTCCCCCAAATTAGAAAGTTTGCCCAAGCCTGTTCTACTCCATTGGCTGCTGTATGCCAGAAGCAGGATGCTTCAATATAGCAACTTTCTTTGTTTTTTAGTTGGTAATGCACTGTAGAAGAAACTGTGTATGATTAGGTGTCAAATGCAAATCTTCTATAATGTCTAAAGAGGTCTTGTAAGTTGCATATCTTTTCCGATTCAACAAAAACAATTTCCATTCTGTATGCATGTGTGTGTCCTGGCCTGTCATGTGCCATTGTAAAGCTGCTCTAGGAAACCTGTTGGCACTAAAAAATCTAAAAACTAAAAATTTTAGTTACATCATCAGTTACAGTCAGCACAGTTGCTCTTGTGTGTTTGAATTATGGCTGAGGTTATTATCTCTGAAAAAGGCAAATGTTTTAATCTCTGGGTTTAGTTATTAATTGGATAGTTTAAAGTCTGGGCAAATAAAACCTTTAATTACCACCATAGGAGAATAATGCTTTAGCATGGTTTCATTACTACAATATGTATAATTGCTGGCAGTAGTGCAGTAACCGAAGTAAGCACTGTGTTGTTTTGCACAAATTACTTAAAAGTAGAATGTCCAGGCAAAGTGAGGGAATTCCAGATTAGCTGGGGATATGCTGGCATATCTGTAACCTTTCATAAGATAAAATGGCAATTATATTATTTGCCTTCTAAAAGTAGGTAAAGGCTTCCCCTTGACATTAAGTCTAGCCGTGTCTGACTCAGGGGGTGGTGCTCATCTCCATTTCTAAGCCGACGAGCTGACGTTGTCCTTAGACGCCTCCAAGGTCAAGTGGCCGGCATGACTGCATGGAGCACTGTTATCTTTGAGCCAAAGCGTTACTTATTGATCTACTCACATTTGCATGTTTTCGAACTGCTAGGTTGGCAGAAGTTGGGGCTAACATTGGAAACTCACCCTGCTCCCCGGATTTGAACCGCCGACCTTTCGGTCAGCAAGTTCAGCAGCTCAGCTGTTTAGCCCACTGCACCACCCGAGGCTCCTTCCAGTGGCTCTTTAATGTTTCAGTGTTAAAATATACAAAAAACAAATCTTCTAATTAATTCAAATCCATTTTTTTTTCAAAAGTGGTAGATTGTAATAACAGTCTGAAGGTTTTGTGCACGCTGTGGAGAAAATGTCCTAAAGCAGTGGTTCTCAACCAGTGGGTCCCCAGGTGTTTAGACCTACAACTCCCAGAAATCCTGGCCAGTTTACCAGCTGTTAGGATTTCTTGGCGTTGAAGGCCAAAACATCTGGGAAACCACTGTCCTAAAGGAACCACAAACTTGGGAAAGCATTACTTGGCGTGCCGTTCTAAATATGGAGTTGTGCTTTCTTCCTCATCCCCTCTTTGAGAATAAAGAAATCTACTGTCCTGTGTCATCGCGAGTTTACTTTTTGTAAGGAAAAAGTCTGTTTGCAATGTTTACCTTGGAATGTGCTTGGGGAAAGCAAAGCAAAGTTCAAATTAACTGCATGAACAAATGGAAAAACAGTCTAAGCTGGGCTGACCAGTATTGTCCCCCTCCAAAAAAGTTATTTCCTTGTCAGGAAGATAATGGAAGATTATTCCTTCACATTTGTTTGACCTAGAAGCGCCTAGTAGATTTGCAGTTCTCTGGTGCTGATGTAGGAGACTATGAGTTGTATAGAGCTTGCTTTTCTATTGTGATTGACATCAAACAGCCAGTTTGCAGTAAGAATCCAGCACTTAATGGGACAAAGATTGTTTTTTAACCATCAGTGTCATTGTATATTCTAGGAAAATGAACTAAGAATAACAAGTTTTGATTGCCAAAATAAAGCCTGGGTTTTTTTTTAGGCCCAAAAGAGTTTTTCTCTGAAGGCAAAGGTGCATTTTAAGTTTTTAAAAAAATGGAGGGGTGGATACACTGAGGATCAGTGACGTGGCCTTGGGGACTGCATGCAATACATGCATTTGCACTCCCTCCTTTCCTCCCTGTATATTCCCCGATTAAGCAGTGGCCATCTGCTGCATGCATCTGTGTGACCTCTGAAAGATGGAACGCTCAGCAGGATTAACTCGGTCTTGCAAGTTCATGTTTTATTTGCTAGATCAGCTTAGTGGGCGGTGAAATTGATTAGCTATCATTGCAGGGAAGTGAAACAGCATGGTTCCAGGTTCATGCAATGCATAATTAATATGTCAGGATAGATCACCTAACATGTAGGTTAGATGGCTTTAAAAGGAGTTAGGAATTTGAAGAGAGGTAATTCATAGCAGAGCACCTGATGAACCAACCTGGACACAGCATATTAATTGAGAACACAGAAATGCTGGACCACTCTAACAACCACCATGTCAGACAACACTGAGATGCCACTGAAATCCATAACCATGTGGACAATTTAACAGAAAGGAGGAAAGTATGAAAATGAACAAAATCTGGCTACCAGTATTTTTTTAAAAAACTCTAAAATTATAACAGCAAAACAACACTCAAACACAGGGAAACTCCAGAGAGGAAACAATCAGGGACAGCTAATCACCTCTCAACAAAATATTGCCCCATGCACTAACAGGCCACACCAAAAAACTGCCAGGCCATCAAATACTAATCAAGGTGGCCAGTTGAAACATTTGCACCAGCTCCAACAGACAAGAGTTCTTTCTCCCACCCTGGGCATTCCACAGATATATAAATCCAATTTTTCCTAGTTCCAACAGACCTCACAACCTCTGAGGATGCTTGCCATAGATGCAGTCGAAACATCAGGAGAGAATGCCTCTAGAACAGGGGTCCTCAAACTAAGGCCCAGGGGCCAGATATGGCCCTCCAAGGTCATTTACCCGGCCCTCGCTCAGGATCAACCTAAGTATGAAATGACTTGAAAACACACAACAACAATCCTATCTCATCAGGCGAAAGCAGGCCCACACTTCCCATTGAAATACTAATAAGTTTATATTTGTTAAAATGTTCTTCATCTTAATTATTGTATTGTTTTAAAGTGTTTTTGCACTACAAATAAGATATGTGCAGTGTGCATAGGAATTCATTCATGCTTTTTTCAAATTACAATCCGGCCCTCCAACAGTTTGAGGGACTGTGACCTGGCCCTCTGCTTAAAAAGTTTGTGGACCCCTGCTCTAGAACATGGCCAAATAGCCTGAAAAAACCTACAACAACCCAGGTGATTATCTTGTTAGCTTCCCAAACTGATGATGAACAGGACCCTCTTGGAGCATTAGGACAGTATATCCCTAGATATGACTTTCTTCCCCAAAGTTGTGAACAGGATATTGTAAAGATAGTGTCAATATTCCAAAATCCCATCCCCGCAAAATCTAAAATGCTTCTGATCCCAAGTATTTTGGATAAAAGATACTCAGCCTATATCGGTTCCACCTTTAATCAGAACTCATGAGGAACACATGCCTTGTTTTTTGGTGAAACTGTGCAGTTCGGCTAAAAACAAGGCACAAGGCTCTTAAAGTGAAACCATGACTTCTTTTTGTTGGATACAGTGAAACTATGACTTAATTTTGCTAAGATCTGCTGCATTGTGGCAGCATAACCCAGCCGTGTAGTAGAAGGAGGGTGGAGTTCCCGAGAAAAGGCTAATAAGGTTTCCCCGCCAAAGTTTCCTACCCTTGTTCTAATTGATGTTATGCTTTAAATCTTGATCGCTGTGAGATTTTGTATGGAACATTAGACTAATAGTTTCCCATTGAACACACACTCTTAGTCTGTAGCTCACAGGGAGCAACTGAATATTTCTTGTTCCAAGAAAGAAACTTGTTTTGAAGCTCTGAAAATATCCATAGCTGGGTCCAGGCTTGTATTACTGTTTGGGTCTGAATTATTAATGTAGACACAAATTTGGAGAGAGGGTCAGTGTGGTGTAGTGGTTTGGGTGTTGGAGCAGGACTTTGGAGACCAGGATTTGAATTCTCACTCAACTGTGGAAACCCACTGCATAACCCTTGGGCAAGCCTTGGATAGTCTCTAAGACAAGAGTGAGGGCAGACCCTGGCCCCTTACACACAACCATATAACCCAGAATATCAAGGCAGAAAATCCCACAATATCTGCTTTGAACTGGGTTATCTGAGTCCACACTGCCATATTTTCCAATTCAAAGCAGAAAATGTGGGATTTTATTCAGCTGTGTGGAAGGTGCCCCAGTGATAGAATCTCCTTAGGGTCAGTCTAAACCAGAGACATTTGAAGGTGAGACAAAAGCAAAGGGTTTGGCTCCTGGGTTATTAGGATGGACACTATTTTGTTTGAGTCCCAATCTGGTTTGGGACCACATATGGGTCATTGAGGTAGTATTTTTTCTGTATTTTGAAATACTATTTGCTGTATTGGGAGTACCATGCAGGTATGCTTCTTACTGTGAGAAGAGAGAGACATCTAGTGGATAAACAGAGAAAACTGATTTAGAAAAAGAATTTACGCATTTGTTTAGTTCAGTGGTTCCCAACCCTTTTTTGACCAGGGACCACTTCACCAGGGATCACTTTGATCAGGGATCTCCGACAGTCGTACCAAAAGGGTTACGAAACAGTTTTTGGTCAACTTTAGTTTCAGTTGGGTTATTTGGAGTGCTGATTCAGGAAATTGCGTTTGATATACCGCATCAGCTCCAGTTTCTGATACAGAACATAAGCCATCCAGTAGTCACCATCTTCTCACCAACATAAAACCATATTTAATAAGCCCTGGCGCTATAAGAGGGTTTCATGAGACCAGTCACTCTTGTTGCAACAGTGTAGTAATGGTGAGGCTGCGGATGATATTTTAGTTCTTGTGGACCACAGGTTGGGAACCACTCGTTTAGTCCCTGCTGCCCTTGATCCCAAAGAGCTTCACACAGAAGAAGCCGTAGTGTATTTGCATATGCCAAAACATGAAAATGCTCCCTTTGTCCAAATACAGCCAAGCTTAGTAGAATTTCCTGAAATCCCACTAAAATACTATTTTTCAATAAAATAATAAAGATGACAGAAATAAAATATCTCAAATTGTTTATCCTTTTTTGCATAATTGAATGCTCAATGTAATTGGTTTTGTAGGCTATTCTGTGGACCTGGAAAGCTTTTAATCCTAGGGTGGGGACAAGGCAACCTTTCAATTGACTCCAGAACACCTCCTACAGTCTTGCGGCCCCATCTGCCTTTTTAAAAATTCTGACTAAATGTTTTGTTGCTCCAGATGGCACAGACAGCTCTCCAAACCACCCAAAAAAGTCAAAAGTAGACTAAAGCTCAAACCAGTGTACCCTCCAGCATATTTAGTCAGATCTGGTTTAGTCTGACCCAGGAGAGCTGCTCTCAATTTTTTAGCTCAGAATTCGACATGCATTTATTAGATTTGCTGCATTTTGGGATATTATACCAAACCAATTATGAAGTTCTACATCTCTGTGTTGACATAATAAGAAGAGCTAATATTTTTGAAAGTGATTTCTAAAATGGGTCATATTCAGTCGGCTAGCAAAGAATTCATCTTGCTAAAAAAAACAAAAACCACCAGTTATTAAAATGGCAAATGGGTGTGATTTTCAATAGATTTGGTAAAAATGTGTTGTGTATGATTCCCAAATTAACTCCCTTTGGAGTTTGCAACCATGGTAGTTTTGTTTGTTTATTAACTCACTGCAGATATGGTTGTAGTTCATCCTGAATCTAATTCAAGTCAAAGCTTTCATAACACATAACCGAATTAATGTAGGAACATCCCAGTCTACTTAGAATAATTCAGCTTCATATAATGGAATTATAAAACGAAGAATTCAGATGGAAGAGACAATTGTATGATTAAAATATGCCGTACAGAGAGGGGAAATGAATGCAGATAACAGAATTTCTGGTGGAACATCATGCTTAAAATGTGAGCCAAATGGAGTATTTGGAAAAACAGCAATCTGCAGTATCTTAATGCACTATCCCACGCTAGTTCTGCTCAGGAGGAGCTCAGAATGTTGAACAGATGGGCCAAATAGAGTCCTGATCACTCCTTGTCCATCATGGCAGAAGTTGGAACCTGTAAAGCATTTTTGAATCCTCAAGAATGCTTGGCATACATACATTATCATTTCTGTAAGGCTTACATGGTATTTGAAAAAAATACCAGACCTCCTGTGGACCACCAACAATTGTTTACCTTTGTAAATGACAGCATGTACTTGCAGTCTGCTTACAGCTAAGCTCTGTCTAATGTGTACTGTTTGCTCCTGAGTGTGCTCTCTTGCAGAGCAGTATGGAAACAACCAAGGTTTGCTTAGTCTATAGATCTCACTTTGAGGTCTGTCAGAAATTGGCTCCATGATCTGCTAGAAATTAGTCCACTTTTAGTTATGACGAGGGCTCCATGCTGATAGACAGTACTTTGTCTAAGAAAGCCACCGAGTGAGCACATATAAAATCGGAGTAGAATAAATTATGTGGAAGACAGAATTCAAAACGCTGCACTTGTTTTCATATAACTTCTTCAGCAAGATGCTCTTCGTGTAAGCTTTCTAATTGAAGTCCTTAGTTGATAATATGTGAAGACGATGGTTATTTATTTATTTATTTTATTTAAAACGTATATCCCGATCTTCTCAACCTCCATAGAGGGACTCAGACTGGTTACATTGTATTACATTATAATCATAGAATCATAGAGTTGGAAGAGATCACATGGGCTATCTATCCAACCCCCTGCCATGCAGGAAAAGCACAATTAGGATTATCCCACAACAAAAACTATGACAACTAATTAAATAGACTACTGCAAGTTTCATACTATCTTGCTAAATAAATCGTTAGACATTAAACCTTTAAAATTCTTGATTCCAGCCAGGCAACATGGTCTAAACCTCTTCCCTTTCCCAATCATGTATATGCAGAGTGCTTTTGTGCTTGAAAGAGTTTGATAACCAATTATAGGAGGCAGATGGAAATAATGCAGATCTCTAGATCATAGCTTCTTAAACTTTGAGTCCTGACCCCAGATAGGGTCCCCTTAGCTCAGTGCTGGGGTCACAAAAATTGGGGAAAATGAAAGATTTCTGAATGCCACACATTTACATAGATCCATTAGCAACATTATCCATTGGTGGTTGGCAATGGTCCTTGTTTTTTCTCTTCATAACACTGTAGAAAATGCTTCAGCTGTACTCCACAAAAATGGAAATCAACCTTTTTAGCAGTTCTTGGAAATGCTGATTTATTATCAGTAAATGTTTGGTTTTCATACTTATTTTATATAGCCTAGGGAGGGGGTTCTAAAGCCTGGGAGCAGCCACCAAGAAGGCCTTCTCCCTTGCACTACCAAATGTGTTTTGTAAGGCAACGGAACCGTGAGGAGGGCATCCCTTCAACGTCTTAAGAGTTTAGGCATTTTCATATAGGGAGATAGGGTCCTTCAAAAAATGTGAACCTTAGCTACACGAATCTTCTTCTTCAGCTAGGCAGAATGGTATATCCAAAGGCCCCTGGTGGTTGGTGGTGGTCCTTGTTTTTTCTCTTCATAATACTGTATGACACAATTTTTGGTCCTGGGATATAAAGGTCAAATCCGAATTGGTTGTATCACAAAAACACGGGGGGAAAAAAATTTAAACTGCAAAAAGTTCGTTTTTGCGGGACATCTTGCAACACATTTTGCTATAGTTTTTCAGTGGATATCTCATAGAGTCTCAACCAATTCAGCATCGTTTGTGGCAGCCACAAAAACTACATTTCCGGAGTAAAACAACCAATTTCAAAGAAAGTACTGCACAATTAAATAATACTTTCAAACCAGGAACAGAAAAAAAATTAGAATTTTGTTATGTAGTATAGTGTGTGGCATTTTAAGTGTAGAAGAACAACAAAACACCTGCCTTCCCTTAGATGTGCAATTTAATTTACAGATGGCACAAAAGGAAATGGTGATAGCAGGAGGGGAGCAATTAAGTCCAGCAGATACTACTGACTTGTCTCTCCCTTTGAATTCGCAGGAGTTGCATTTGGAGAAAGGGACTTTCCTCCCTGCTTCTGGGCCTAAACATAATGATCTAACTCCCCAACGGGATTTTGACCACTACTTCTGAAAAATTCAGGGCTATCTTTACTGATACCTCTCTTTTCCTGCATGATGCACACTTCTGTAAGGGTGTCGCCTTACACTTCTGTAAGGCTTCCCAAGTCAACATTGGATGTGACTCCTCAGGACTGAAATAGCAGTGTAGCCTTGTTTTAATCTATACAACCCTCTTTTGCAAGACTAAAATTGGTATTGGAATACATGATTCCAGAGGAGGGAGACCTGCCCACACAGTGACTATGATGGAGTTAATGGATCAGTTTCTGAAGGTAGTAATGGTAACTCATATTGTCGCCGCAGAACCTACTTGGAGGAAGAATTAACAAAGGCGAGAAAGAAGCCCAGTCTGCGGAAGGACATGTACCAGAAGATGATTGAAGTAGATCCTGATGCTCCTACTGAGGAGGAAAACTCTCAGCGTGCAGTAACCAAGCCCCGATACATGCAATGGAGGGAGACCATCAGTTCTACAGCAACCCTGGGGTTCAGAATTGAGGGAATAAAGGTAATGTTTTCAAGTCTATAAAAGAGAGCATTAAAGCCTTACAAGTCATGTACCTCTAACTGAAATGTCATATATGATAGATGTCTATGAATCTCTGAAGTCAAGTCAACTTTATACCCCGTCTCATTTCCCCTTGGGGACTCGGAAATGTTCATTCCCCTCAGAGTGAATGAGCTCTCCCACTAGCTCTGTGACGTGAGTTCAGCTGAACATGCTTACAAAATATAAAATGCAAATCCAACCCTCTCAGATGTTGAATGTCCAAAGATCTGTGACACAGCTGAGGGGGTTTAACATTTGTGTTTACTTGTACCCCACCGACAAATGACTGGATCAGGCTAATGTCAAATTGAAATGGCTATTCTTCAGGAAGTACAGTGTAAGGACTGTGGAAAATCTTCCCATTATTGAGTTATAGTCGTGCCTCTTCTACCAACCTTGGTCCAATATTGCATGGGTGGACTAAGAACAGCAACTTGCAGTCTTTTCTATACATCTGGTTGGCCTTCCAGCCTCAATTCCTTTTCCTTCTGTTTACCACTGATTGCCGAGATTACTAATTAAATCGTGACCATCATGTATCTTTTTCCACTGTTTCTGTTTAATAATCAGCAAAACTATGTTGAAATAAAAGCATTCTTTAGAATAATAGCCTTGGGTTTTGTCATTGTCTTTTTTTAAAGAAGGAAGATGGCACTGTGAACAGGGACTTCAAGAAGACAAGAACAAAGGAACAAGTCATGGAGGCCTTTAGAGAATTTACTAAAGGAAACTGTAACATTCTGGTGAGTCACTGTTACCGATTATTTCCTTTTTTGTTTCTTGGATTATTCAATATATATAGAGTACCTTCATAATGTTCTTTCTGTCCAGGAAAGAAATTTTGTACATCCATAAAGCTTTATTACAGTCCAAAGTTCCAAATAGCGTTAGGGAAAACTACTCAAAAATAGCAGAGCATCCAAAATAGAAATAGAATACTTATAGTTGAGCATTTAGCTCACAGCAAGCAGAGTGTGAAGTACTGTAAATATTTTTAATGGAAAATTATTCACAAAAAAGTGAAATATTAATTGTAATTTTGCTTTTATGGTAGATCTTAAAAGAAAGAAGAAGGATAACAGAGTACAATATTAGACTATATCTGTATTTCCCCTTCGTGTAGTCTGTGAAAGACGCACATAATGGGTTTTATTCTGCGCATGCGCAGCTGTTCGGAACCTTCTAGAATTTTCAAATAGAAACTTTTGATTGGCGGACGCCCCGCCCAAACTCCCCATACTATAAATGCCCGAGGCGGGAATCTCGGCTCAGTTCCTTTTCCGCGATCAGCAGCGTTTGGAACCTCTCTAGCGAGTTACTAGCGGACTATTTTTTGCTCTCTTTGGACTCTTTTGGACTCGGAAAGTTTTCGGATTTGTGAAATTCTCCTGCCCATCGACCACGGAACGTTTGGACTACTCTTAGACCAATCCTCATCTCGCAATGAGCACCTCATTCTTTAAGAAATGCAGCTCTTGCGGCGGCAAGGTGCCCGATTCAGACGGGCACGCCATGTGTTTGCTTTGCCTTGGGGAATCCCACCGACCCCAATCCTGTCAGGTGTGCCAGGCTTTTACTCCCAGGGCCCGTAAGGACCGAGAATCGAGGCTCAAAGCCCTGTTGTATGAGAGGGCCTTAGCCCCTGCCGCCGCCCGAGCGGAGAAGCGCCCGGCATCAGAGGCGTTTTCGGAGCCCCAGGAAGATCGGGATTCGGGCCTGGCTCCCTCCCAGTTATCCCTGCAGGAGCAGGAAATGGGAGACGACTCTCGGCCGGGGGCCGCTAAAAAGCCCAAACCGCCGAAACAAGGAAAAACCTCCCATAAGCACAAGGATGGGCTGAAAAAGGGAAAGAAGAAGGGGCAACTCGGCGGTAATTCGCCCCCGAGCCCCCATGCAACGAGAGGCGCAGCCCAGCGAGGCGCCGATGCCCCCGCAGGGGCGCGGGGAGAAACGCCAAAAATGGCGGACCAGGCAGCTGGGCCGGAGGAAATGGCGCCTAGCCCTCCAACGCTCTCCCCTGCTGAAGAACTCCCATTGAGCAGCGCGCCCCAGGGTGCCCCGATTTTAACCACGGGGCCCCCAGCTACCGACTTACCTGTGGTCTCACAAGGAGCAGGTCAATCTTCAACCCCTCCTGGGCTCCCTCAACAGGGGCGAGACCCCCCCTCTCCAGCAATAGTGCATAGGGGAGATGGGGGAAGAGGACGCTCCTTGGAGCGCCGACCACGCCACGTGCATCGGCACCGACGCAGATCTCCATCTATTAGCTCATGGAGCTCACGTTCCCGCAGTCCGACCGGATCCTACTATGGAGAGGATTACTCCCCGGAGCGCCACCATTCTAGATACCTCAGGGATTGTGCTCAGTATAAGTACGCCCTTCCTCAGAGAGGCTGTTGCCGCCATGTTTCTTGCTGCCAATACGCAGAGCACTCCCTCCCTCCTGCTAGGGCCACGCCCCCTAGCACAAGCCTCGCCCATGCGGGGGCGGCATCTTCAGCTCCTCCTCACCCTGGACCCATGGCGCAGCCTCCACGGGCTGACGTGCAGCGACCCGACCAGCCCAGCGCAACACCAGCGCCACCTGCTGCGGGCCCTTCGGTTCCAGCTCCCAAAGCCTCGGCACCGAGAGCTGCAACCCCAGGGGCCGATGCTGTTTTTCTCTCGGCCTCCTCGGATTCAGAAGACCGCCCCCACTCCCCCCCGGAGCCACAACCTGACTCAGAAGCACTCTCCGCTGAGGAGCTTGGGGGCTTCTCTGCTCTCTTGATAAGGCTTTCTAAGGCTCTGCAATTGATGGTGCCCCAGTCAACAAAGGTCGTAGAGGACCCGATGTTTCCCTCCTCCAAACAACATGACCCTCCAATGACTGTCCTGCCTTCCCTTCCATTCCTTTTACAACTCAGCAAGGCGGAGGGTGTTGCCCCGTCAGCAGTGCTCGCAACACCTAAGCGCGCAGAAAATCTCTACAAGGTGGACCTCTCTGCTGCTCCGTGGCTAGCCAAGCAGCCTAAACCCAACTCCATCGTAGTGGATGTTAGCCAGCCTCGCCCCTCCCAAAGATCCCAATCCACCCCCTCTGATAAAGAAGGGAAGAAGCTGGAAATGTTGGGAAAGAAGATCTACGCTTCGGCCTGCCTCGCCTCCAGGATGGCCCATTATGGGGCTTACATGGCAGGCTACCAAGAACACCTGTGGGGCAAGATAGCAGGATATTTCGACATGCTCCCACCAAGCGAGCAGATGCTGGCGAAAGCCTTCCATCAGGAAGCTATGCTTCTGGCTTCTTTTCAGAAAGATCTAGCCAAACACACAGCCGATGCCGCGGGCAAGCTTCTGGCGACAGCGGTGGCCTTGCGCCGCCACGCCTGGCTGAGGGGCTCCGGCTTATCGCAGTCAGCAAAGACAGTGATAGAGGACCTCCCAATGGACGAGTCCGGTCTCTTTAACCCAGAGACGGACTCCCAACTAGAGCATACCCAGAAGATGAGACAGACAGCCCATAAGTATGGTTTCTCTCCCTATCTGTCGCAGCACCACAGACAATACTGGCCAAGCCGCTTTCACCAACATCGAAGACGTTACAGCCCTCCAGCCTATAGAGGACGACAACGCCCTGCGGCCCCCGCTCCGGCCGCTAGGAAACCATCTCTCCCGTATAGGGGCCAACAACGCGGTGGAGGTAAACAACCCGAGCGTCAGAGACGCCGCTTCTAGCCCTTGGGCTGGAAGTAGATCTCCATCTTTCTCAACAGTTTCTCAAGTTTCAAGTTCTACAGTTGGCACCGTTCAGCCAGGTTCACCGTTTACTAGTTCTATTTGTTATGATGACAACCTCCCATCCCTCCAGCGGGGGACCTTCAAGGACCGCCTGGCCCCTTTTCTGCACGCATGGAGGAGGATAACCACGGACTCTTGGGTCCTCTCCATAGTAGAACGAGGTTATGCCATAGAATTCGAATCTTGGCCTCCGGTAGGAGCCATCAAGGTAACACCATCCTCCCCTCAGCTCCTTGAAGAGATATCAACCCTCCTGGAGAAAGGGGCCATCTCCAGGATCCACCCAACAGAGGCTAAAGATTGTTTTTTCTCCAGGTATTTTTTGATATCAAAGAGAGGCGGAGGCCTCCGCCCCATCCTGGACTTAAGAGATGTCAACTTCTTCATAAAGCCTCGTAAATTTCGTATGATCACCCTAGCGAACATCCTCCCGTTACTGCAGAAAGGGTCATGGTTCGTGACTCTTGACCTCCGCGATGCGTATTTTCATTTTTCAATTAGGGAAGACCATAGAAGGTTCCTAAGTTTCGCAGTAGACGACCAGCTGTTTTCTTATAATGTCCTACCATTCGGACTTACATCTGCACCTCGGGTCTTTACGAAGTGCGTAGCGGTGGTAGCCGCGCACCTGAGGCAAAGAGGAATAACAATCTTCCCATACCTGGACGATTGGATGATAACTTCAGAGTCGAGATCTCACCTTCAATCTGATCTCACCTACACTCTGTCTCTCTTACAGAGCCTTGGCCTCATCGTCAATTTCGAGAAATCCAACCTGAATCCTTCAAGATGCATCCAATTCATCGGTGCTACCATAGACTCCATCTCAGAAAAGGCCTTCTTACCACAAGACCGTTTCCAAGCCATCAAGTTAGCGATAGAAGACATCTGCACACAAAGGGGAGCCACCGCGTGGGCCTTCCAATCTCTGCTCGGGCATATGGCCTCGACAACGTCGGTCATCAAATTTGCGAGGCTGCGGATGCGCCCGCTGCAGCATTGGTTCGTCAGAGTATTCAAACCCCAACGCGACAGCCAGAACATCCGCCTGTACCCACCGCATCAGGTCCTGCAGTCCCTGGGATGGTGGACACGGGAGGAGCACGTCCTTGCAGGCATGGCCTTCAGACAACCGCGCCCATCCCACTGCCTCACAACGGATGCATCCAACCAAGGATGGGGGGCTCACCTCCGGAATCTCACAGTGCACGACAGATGGTCTCACGAGGAGGCATCCTACCATATAAATTATCTCGAGCTCCTAGCCGTCCAGAAGGCCCTACGTGCCTTCGAGCCCCATATCACCGGGCGCGCTGTACAGCTCCTCACGGACAATACAACTGTAAAATGCTACATAAACAAGCAAGGCGGGACGCGCTCCTCCGACCTCCTCAACCTATCTACAGCAATATGGGAGTGGTGCATCCCACGAAGGATACATCTCATGGCAGTGCACCTCCCGGGAGAGGACAACACTCTCGCCGATTCCCTCAGTCGAACTCAGACATCAAATCACGAGTGGCAACTGCATCGGGACGAGTTCCGGTTCCTGTCCCACCACTGGGGCCAACCAACCCTGGATCTGTTTGCGTTGTCAGTAAACGCACAGTGCGACACGTTTTGTGCCAGACGTCGCCCCGGATCGACCCAGGGATGCATGGGGGACGCATTCATATTCACCTGGTCACCGGGCCTGCTATACGCCTTTCCTCCAATCCCACTGATTCCCAGAGTGCTGTCCAAATTGATCGAGGACAACGCAGAGGCGATACTGGTCGCCCCTTGGTGGCCGCGCCAGCACTGGTTTGCCCCCCTCCTCACAGCTTCGAGGGGCGAATACCTCCATCTACGAGACAGACCGGACCTCCTCTCGATCCAGGAGGGCCGAGTGTATCACCCAGACCTCGCCTCGCTACGCCTCACGGCGTGGAGGATCCGAGCCAAGCCCCTCTATCGGAGGCAGTCCAGGGCATAATCGCAGCAGCCCAGAAGACCGCGACTAAGAAAGCCTATGCTTACAAATGGGCACGTTTCAAGGACTACCTCAAGCCCCTGAATGTTGACCCCTGGAAAGCCCCGACGAGAGTCATACTGGACTTTCTGGTCCACTTGTCCAACAAAGGACTCTCTTTATCCTCCATAAAATGCTACCTGGCATCACTATCATGGTACTGGAGACAAACGGGTCGCCCATCGTGCTTCCATGACCCCATGATACGGCTCTTCCTTAAGGGTTACTCCAACTTGCACCCACCTGTCATACCCCCTTCCCCAGCGTGGAGTCTAGAGCTGGTGTTGTCGCAACTCTCCAAGCCACCTTTTGAGCCAATGGCCACATGCGACCTCTCGCATCTCTCATGGAAGACGGCCTTTCTAGTGGCCATTACATCGGCCAGGAGAGTGAGTGAGATCTGTGCTCTGAGAGTCGACGCGCCTTACCTGCGATTCCACAAAGAGAAGGTGGTCCTCCGACCGGACATAGACTTCTTGCCAAAGGTGGTGTCTAAATTTCACCTCTCACAAGACATTTCCCTACCAGCCTTCTTCCAAAACCCTTCTTCCCCTCTGGAGTTTTCACTGCATTCGTTAGATGTCAGACGAGCCCTAGCATTTTACACTAACAGAACTGCACCTCACAGAAAGTCAGTCAAACTTTTTCTGAAATACCGACAGGACTCTCTAGGGTTGCCTGTCTCCTCCCAGCGCCTCGCTTCGTGGATCGTCTCGACCATCAGACTTGCTTACCTGTTAGCGAAGAAAGAGCCCCCTCAACAGATCCACGCCCACTCCACAAGGGCGATGTCAACCTCACAAGCCTTCCTGAGGGGTATTCCAATTGATGACATCTGCAAAGCAGCGACATGGTCCAATTCGTCAACATTCGCTGCCCACTACAGACTAGATGCAATAGCGAGGAAGGATACAGCTTTTGGCAGAGCGGTGTTGTTTTCCAGTGTCGCATGACTCCCGCCTCCAAAGGTTGGTAGCTTGTTATGTCACCCATTATGTGCGTCTTTCACAGACTACACGAAGGGGAAATGCGAGTTGCTTACCTGTAACTGCGTTTCCACGAGTGATAGTCTGTGAAATTCGCACATCCCCGCCCGACCTCCCCGCAGTAGTCATGCTTGTTCTATAGCTGCTGTTTGTTTTTTTTATTTTTTTATTTTTTTTATTTTTATTTTTAGTTTTAGTTTTATTTTTAGTTTTTGTTTTTTTTTTTGTTTTTTTTTTTTTTTTGACCTCCCCGCAGTAGTCATGCTTGTTCTATAGCTGCTGATAGCGGCTGCGGAACTGAGCCGAGATTCCCGCTTCGGGCATTTATAGTATGGGGAGTTTGGGCGGGGCGTCCGCCAATCAAAAGTTTCTATTTGAAAATTCTAGAAGGTTCCGAACAGCTGCGCATGCGCAGAATAAAACCCATTATGTGCGAATTTCACAGACTATCACTCGTGGAAACGCAGTTACAGGTAAGCAACTCGCATTTCTATATATTGACAATAGTTTGTACTAGTGAAACCTTCACTGAGTATATGCGCTTCTGTATATATTAGTGGCACCTACATGCCATAAACAGTTTACATACATAAAGCAATGTCCTTGTTATGTTCGAAACATAGTTTCACTCACCAACATGGCATTTATGTTCACTTTTGTGTGAATGTGTCGTGTATGTGTGTGTATCTATATATATATACAGTTTTCTCTTTCTGCTTCCCAAGTCAACATTGGATGTGACTCCTCAGGACTGAAATAGCAGTGTAGCCTTGTTTTAATCTATACAACCCTCTTTTGCAAATGTGAACACTCCAAATGAGTATGAATGTGTTATTGTAGAAGAGGCAGATTATTTCTGACTTGGGATAGGTTGGTTGTACAATTTCAAGAGATAGCACCTGTTTACTTAAAAAAAACTGGAGCACTCACTCAGCCTGTTCCCTCTTTGGCTTTCCAGAGCTTGGGAAAAGGCATCTTTTGGACACCATCTGCCAGGCTTCCTAATAGACATGGGCAATCCATAGTTCTAAATAGTTCTAAAGTATTTAGAAAACAAGTGGGCGTTGGTGCTTTGCTTCTAAAGTGTTGCTGAAGTTCTGGTGGTGAAATTTTCAGAACGCTTAACAAAACTTTCAAAATTTCATTATAAATGGAAGTTTCTAATTGGTTCTGTCATAAAAATCACCAATAACGAAATAATAATGAAATTTTGAAAGTTTTGTTAGAGTTCTGAAATTTTCACCACCAGAACTTCAGCAACACTTTAAAAGCAAAGCATCAATGCCTGCTAGTTTTGTAAATACTTTAGAACCATTTAGGACGATAGATTGCCCATGCCTACTAACTGTACTAACTGTGCAGAGCACTTGGATCTGTAGTCCAAACAGTCAATTTTACAGGTTCTAGAATGATCTATTAATGCTTTTTACCTTGTTTTTTCTCTGCCTTGGGAAAATTTTGTCCTTAAAAGGCAGATTATTAATGAATATTGGAATTGCACATTTTTATTATTTCTGCAAGCTGTGCAGAGCCAGATTAACTTAATTGCAGGCCTCACCATATGTAGTTTCCAAACTTGTGTATGTTGTATTTTACTCATTCCAAGCCTCCTGGAACAGTTTACAATAGATAGTAAAGTGAAGGAGGATTATAAACAAAGCTGTTTGCTGTTCATTGCCAAGTCATTTTGTTGGATAAATATGTTTGCAGTCCCACCTTTCAGAAGAATCTGAGCCAATGAGCCTGTCCCATCTTTGAAATTTTGTGGAGAGTCCAACACGACTGGTGGGGGGCACGAAAGAGTATTTTCTCAGCAGTCACTTCTCAGCTCTAGAACTCTCTTTCTAGAGCAGTGGTTCTCAACCTGTGGGTTGCCAGGTGTTTTGGCCTACAACTCCCAGAAATCCCAGCCACTTTACCAGCTGTTCAGATTTCTGGGCGTTGAAGGCCAAAACATCTGGGGACCCATAGGTTGAAAACCACTGCCCTAGAGAATAAGCATGCCCACCCCCACCACCAGGTCATTGCAGTTCTTTTGTTGGTAAAACCCTTTTTAAAATTCAGGCTGACTTTGAGAACCGAGAGGCTTTAGAGAAACTGCCTATTTGACACTAATTTTTATTCAGAAATGCAGAAATCCAAACGGGGAAAAATAGTTACAGAGACAAAAACAATACAAAAATAACAGTTTTCCTTATATATAAAACTAAACTGCAACAACTAACCAAAATATATCTACAACAAACCCACACTACCAAACACTAACTAAACATGCAACAAGAACTAACCTGCAGGTCTCACACTTGTTGTCTGTTGAGTTTTACTGCTTATGGTACTGTGGTTAAACCATTGAACTGTTGAATCTGCTGACCTATAGGTCAGGAGTTCAAAGCTGCAGGTCGGGGTGAGCTCCCACTGTTAGCCCTAGCTCCTGCCAACCTAGCAGTTCAAAAACATGCAAATGTAGTAGATCAAAAGGTATCGCTTTGGCAGGAAGGTAATAAAGGCACCCATGCAGCCATGCCGGTGACATGACCAGGACATGTCTACAGGCAACAGACTCCTCGGCTTGGAAATGGAACAAGAGCACGTCCCCATGGCCAGAGTTGAGCAGTGCCTTCAGAAGCTGGAGTTGAAAGGGAAAGCTTTTACCTTTGTTTAGTGTATTTGTATGTTATTGTTATTCCACTGTATTAAAGGCATTGAATGTTTGCCTATCTGTGTATGTTGTAATCCGCTTTGAGTCCCGTCGGAGAGATAGAGCGGAATATAAATACATTGTTGTTGTTAATAAAGGGTTGTTGTTATTATTATTATTATTATTATTATTATTATGTACTTATTCCTTAAAATATCACTACATATCAACCTCTCTACTTTTAATGACACTCTTTTACATCAGAAAACCAATAGTTTGCTCCCATTTTTCTGTTAGAGAAGGATAAATGAGTCCCAGTCCCAAAGAAAGTGCCTTTAATGAGGATTCCTTTATTTTTTTATTATATTGCTTTTTCCTAAATTGTGTGCTTTTAAATTCTTGTATTTAGACATGCTTGGCAGTATAGTTCTGTGTTAATCTTAGTCCTGTGTTAATGGATACCATTTTAGTGTATGTTTTCCACTTTGTTATGTTTGAATGTGTAAACCCCCTTGAGTGTTTGTTTTTGGAACTCATCATCATAAAAATCAAAGTGTAGCTGAAAGGGGACCCAATTGATCTGCTGTCTGCAAAGGAGCCTCTAGCTATGCTCAAGATAGCATGATCACAAGGGTGTGTATGTACAACATGCTGTGATGTGCAGTACAATGGCACTGCTGTGAACTCTGGACTTCACATTTTGTGTACGATATAATAAAAACACCTTCATCTGTAGCTTTGCTGGGTATGTCCACAAATGTTCAAAGTCGGTGTTTGTTGCAATGTAGAGGGACTCCAAGATCTTAACAAGTTCTTTTCTTACAATTTCAGAACAGTTATCTTAATCGACTGAAGAGCATCCGTGACACCTTGGTTACATCACCATTCTTCGGGGGTCATGAGGTAAAATCAACCACTTAGGATTTATTGATTGTCTAAATCAGCGCTTCCCATACTGTGTTCCCTAAAACCCTGGTGTTCCACAAAAGCATCATTAGGGTTCCACAAAAAAAAAAATTAAAATATTTTTCAAAAACTGGCAGAGTACAAAGCTCTTGTTGAAATTCAGTGTCCCTCTGCTTAAAAAATAAAATTTGAATATTTTTATTTCCAAACATACTGCATTATACAAAACACCTGGGCAGTAAGAACTGCTGGTATTTAGAACCACTGGTCTAGTTAAGTATGAAAACAGAAATACTCACTCCTGGTCAGTTGCAAGGCCGAACAGGGTATAGAGTTACAGCCTGTGTTGGATGGGGTTATATTCCCACTGAAGATGCATGTTCACAGGGTTGTTGTAGGTTTTTTTCGGGCTATATGGCCATGTTCTAGAGGCATTTTCTCCTGATGTTTTGCCTGCATCTATGGCAAGCATCCTCAGAGGTAGTGAGGTCTGTTGGAACTAGGAAAATGGGTTTATATATCTGTGGAATGACCAGGGTGGGACAAAGGTGTGAATGTTTCAACTGACCACCTTTAACTCCATGTTTTAATGTCTAAATGTTGTTATGTTTTTTGATTTTATTGATAGTTTTGTGTTATTGTTGTTTTTATGTTAGGTTTTCATGTTTGTGAGGCATTAAATTTTGCCGTGAATATGTCGGAAACTGCTTTGAGTCCAGTGTCCCCCCGACCTCCCCTGTTGAGAAAAGCAGTGTATAAATGAAGTAAATAAATAAATAAATAAATAAATAATGCAAATACTGTAAATCAATAAATAGGCTGGAACAATATGCTCTTACATCCCTTTTCGTCTTTGCTTTTGCAGGTAATTGGGAGTTCCCTTCTCTTCATTCATGACAAGAAAGAACAAGCCAAAGTCTGGATGATTGATTTTGGGAAAACAACGCCGCTTCCAGAGGGACAGGTCCTCCACCACAATGTGCCCTGGGTAGAAGGCAACAGAGAGGACGGCTATCTCTGGGGGATGGATAACCTCATTCAAATCCTAAGTGAATTGTCACAGAGTGAAGGCCTGCATTAAAGCCAAATGTCCAACTCCGCCACTACCTGGAAACCCACCCCTCCAACTGACTCTTCTGAACTGCACTACAAGACACTTTCCTCCCACCCACCCTCTTCCTTTCTGGATCTAAAACTTTAGGAACTCGTTGTTTTATTTAAAGTGTAAATATGCAGTTATGTGCCAGAACAAATGCAGAACATGAAACTCAATGTAGGCAATGGAAGTGAATAGCAGTACAAAGCTTTTAAGTGTTAGTAGTTAAAGAATTCTGCAAATGGCTACCAAATGCAAGACTTTCATCACTTCCTCCTTAATCAGGTGTTTAGCGCTTGTATCTTATCTGTGTCAACAAAGAAAGTCCTTTCATGTAAGGAGTTTTCTGTGGTTTATCAGCCAAAGGAGAGATTGTGTCCTAGTCTTGCTTGAACAATACTTATCTAATTTTTGTCAGACTGAAGGAGAGATTCATTTGTTATTATCTGCTGCTCTCTCGTCTCCAACATAAGATTTGGGCCACTCGTGCTAAAGCCATGTCCACATAAGGACACTTTGTGAGGATTTTATATATGTATGCATTCTTTCTTCCTGGGAATTTCCCACAGAAATGAAGCTTTGGAATCTACTAAGAAAGCCAGGGAGAAATGAAGCATTTTATATTTACTAACTTCCTTAAATGTAGGCATCCAGATAATAATTTTATAGAAAGAATTAATATCAGGTCTACTTTTTTATATAGCCAAGCAACTTCTTAGCTTATAACTACTGTGCAATACTTGAGTAGTTGTAACAATTGCAAAAAAAGAGGCTTCTGTGGGTTACATTTTATGGTGCATTCATTTAGCTGCTGTGTTTGCCTTGAATTGTTGGGCAGTAGTGCTCCCATCCCTTCTTGCCTTAGACAGAATGAGCAATTTCCCAGGCCCAGGTGACTAGACTGAATAACCCAAAATGCAGCTAAGCAGGTATGGGGAAACCCAGGCCCGGGGGCCGGATGCGCTCCTTGGGCTCTTTTCTCAGGCCCTCCTCTCTCTCACCATCCCATCCTTCCTTCTCTCTTTCTTTCCTCCTTCCCTCACTCTTTCTTCTTCCCTTCCACCCTTTCGTCCTTCCTTCTCTATTTCTTTCCTCCTTCCCTTCCTTTCATCCTTCCCTCCTTTCCTCCCTTTTGTCTTTCTTTCTTTCTCTTTCCTTCCTCCTTACCTTCCTCCCTTCCCTCCCTCTTTTTCTTTCCATCCTTCCCTTCCACCCTTTCGTCCTTCCTTCCTTCCTTCTTCCTTCCCTCTCTCCCTCTTTCTCCTTCCATCCTTCCCTTCCACACTTTCATCCTTCCTTCCCTTTTTCCTCCCTCTCTCCCTCTTTCTCCTTCCCCCTTCCTCCCTTCATTCTCTTTTTCCTTCCTCCTTCCCATCCTTCTATCCTTCTCTTCCATCCTTTCATCCTTCATTCCTTCCCTTTTGTCTTTCCTTCCTTCTTCCCTTTCTCCCTCTTTCTCCTTCCATCCTTCCCTTCCTCCAGTTCATTCTTCCTTCCTTCTCTCTTTCCTTCTTCCTTCCTTCCCTTCCTTCCTTCCATCACCAGGTTAGAAAGTTTGCCCATGCCTGAGCTAAAGTCACAACTCAGTGATGGCACTTGTATTCATCACCACCATTGCCACCACTGAAATGCACTGAAAACTATAGCAAGTCTCTGGTGCCACATGTTTTCAGGACATCCATCCTCCACCTAGAACACGCCTACACAACCTGTGGCCCGCCAGGTGTTTTGGACTTCAGCTCCCAGAATTCCTGACCATTGGACAAACTGGCTAGGGTTTCTGGAAGTTGAAGTATCAAACAAACGGAGAACCACAGGTTGTGCAGGCCTGGCCTAGAGCTTGGTAAGACCCCCAAGTGGAGGGTTTTCTGCCTTCCTGAAGCAACAGGAAGCGAAGGAAGGGATGGGGTGGCTGTGATTTTGTTGGTGTGGCTGGGCCAGTACAGCAACAATGTACTCTGGAGAAAAGGGCTTAAAACTGCCGCTAAATCTACATGTCGACAGCCTGTGCCTCAGTGTGGCCTAGTAGTATGTCCATGGAAGGACAACAGTAGAGTGATAAAACTGGTGTAACCATTGTTCAGGTATCATCAGTGCAGATTCTTTTAATATGGCAAACAGTTTCTAAGATGTGTTCTCACTTAAACATCCAGGTTCCCAACATGTATTAATGAAACCTAAAAAAACAGAACGAGATGGAATTTGATGGAAAATGAGATGTGGCTGATTGAGCATTTGTCTCTGAAATTTGTGTTCTAACTTCCATCTCTCGAATGCCACTCTGTTTTTCTAGCTTCATAACGATTTTTTGGTGTAGGTCTTGCAAAACCATCTGCTTCTCCAGTTGAGAGTTAGGCTGTTTTATAATTTCCTGGAACATTTGAACAAAAGTAGATTGCTTGCATCAGGACTGGCTTATGAAAAGGTCAGCAACTAACAGAAATGTATGGAGGGAAATGCTGTTCATTTTGAAGGAGGGGTTTGTGAGTGCTGCAGTAACTTGGACCAGGAAGACTATGTTGACTGCCTGTTACAAATCTTCTTGAGCACAACTTCTGGCTAACTTCAGGTCCCATCCCGTGTGCCTCATCGCTACTATTCTGCCCCATAATTATATTGCCACAATTCTTGGAATGACATGGCAGCACAATCTTGCCATAAGAGATTCAAATGTATATGGTGGTAAAATGTCCCTTGAGTCCTAATGCAAGACATTTGCAAGAATTGAACTCCTTAGTAGTTCTTCCATTCAGATTTTGTGTCTGCTGTTGTATATAGTTGCTCCATTCCACTTCTTTTCTTCTCATGCTCCCCCTGCTGTTTAATAATAGCCTATGTGGAAGTGCCTTATGGACTCGTTTCTGTTCCATTTGTGTCATGGAAAAGTGGTTTGGGTTTTTTTTTTTAAAAAGTTCTATTTATTGCCATTCCTTTTTTTTCAGATGCCTAGAACACTAAGCCTCAATGCATGGGATATTTTAAATAACGACATACATTTTTTGAAAATCTCTCTCTTCACATTTGTGGTGGAGGAATAGTCCATGAAGCAGCATAAGTTTATGTTATTTTAAAGTTTTACTTAGCTTTTAAATGGCTTCTCTTATATACAGTTTTATTTTTTTAAGCCTGTCTGTTTGTAAAACAAGATTCCTTGTTTTGTGGCTTTAAAAAAAGTGAAATATTCCTTCAGGTGTCTTTTCAGACTTATTTGGAGGCTGAAACTGTTGTTGTGAGGTCGTTTCCCCCACACCTTTTTACACCAGTTTTCCTTGCTAAGTGATGAACTTGCAGAGTTAGAAAACAACACAGATACACAGTGCCTGTAAGTCAAATATCTCAAAATAAAAACATATGAGATGGTTTCTTTTGTGATGTTTTGTCAGTTTCCATGATCTTTGCTTTGACCTTAGGCAACCTGAGTTCAAGAATGAAATAAAACTTTCCACTTCATCACACTGAAGCAGGGAAGTGTTTGGCAGAGTAGAGCTCCCTTTTGCAATGAAACTGATGATTTCCCCACCTTCATCACACTGTTAAATGTATCTGTGTTACTCAGCATTCTTTGAGTTTATTTGCCATCGTGCTTTAAAGATTTGGCCCCACCCACCATCCCTTCCTGTGTTCTTTGTTGGAAAAAAACTCCTCTCTTTGAAATGTCAGCAGTTACTTGTCTTCAATTTCGAAAGCAAGGAAGTAGAGAGGAAGGGAGGGAGGAAGGGAAAGCGGCGATGCACACTCTCTTCCCCCCCCCCTTCTCTCGGCTGCCCCACAGAGAAGGATGTGTACCTTGGAAAACTATAACTCCCAGGACTGCATAGTATGGAGCTATGGTATTTAAAGTAGATACACTCAGAAAAGGTTCACGGACCTTGGAAATCTGCAGTTCCTAAGAACATCTCATGGAGACATAGAATTTGAAGTAAGGTCCAACTGCAGTAATTCCACAGTGTAGATGCACCCAGAGAAGGGTATGGACCTTGGGGAACTAGGAGGACTCCATCCCATGGAGCCATGGCATTTAAAGTGGGGTGCAAGGGCAATCATTTCATACTGTAAATGCACCAAGAGAAGGGTTTGGACCTTGGAAAACTATGACTCCCAGGACTTCACAGCATGGAGACATGACATAATAACAACAACAATAGTGGCATTTAAAGTGGGTCCCAACTGCATTTATTCTCCAGTGCAGATTCACCCAGAGGAGGGTGTAGATAACTCCCAGGACTTCATAGTATGGAGTATGGAGCTATGTTATTTAAAGTGGGTCCCAACTGCATTTATTCTCCAGTGCAGATTCACCCAGAGGAGGGTGTAGACCTTGGCAAACGATAACTCCCAAGACTGCATAGTATGGAGTATGGAGCTATGTTATTTAAAGTGGGTCCCGACTGCATTTATTCTCCAGTGCAGATGCACCCAGAGACTGGTTTGGCTTGTTCCACAATTTCCCCTTCTGCAAATTGAAGGAAGGGTTCGTTTTTAAACTTGAAGCAACAAATGCCATCACATAACAAAACTGACCAAACATCCGGATCATTACCAAAAATCTACTCCCACACCATCTCTTGAAATGTTTGAAACAGGCCTCTCCAGGAAAGGCTGAGATGCTGATTTTAGCCAAGAGGTGGCACTACCAGACAGTTGGTTTGCACAAAGCCTACTTCTTTGATATTTCCCTTCCTCTATGATACATAAACACAAATACACGTGTATATATAGACAAGTGTGTGTGTGTGTGTGTGTGTGTGTAAAAATGCTTAAAAGAAGTCTAATTTGGGATGGCAGATATAACTTCTGTATTAAAGAACAACTATTTGTCATGATCAAACAGCACACACCTAGAAAGATTTGAGAGATGCTAACTATCTCCTGTTTTGCAGTAGTGGATTTGTAACCTAGGGGTGCAGATCTGTAAGTGCTTTGTATTCAGTAATGCTATGTGTTCGCTATTGTGGCACACATGTAATGTCACAATCCAGCAGCTGGCCTTAAGAGCCAGCAGCCTCATCCAGTAATGAATGCTTATAGCATAATAACATTTGGGTATAGTTGACGTCCCATCAGCTGCCTTGCTTGCTGGTTGGAGTTGGCTGGAAACATCCAGCACTGCCTCAATCACCAGCTGAACAGACTTCCATTGCTAAATGTGGGTGCTGGCTGTTAAGGTAGGTGCGGTGTGGTCGTGCCTGGAATTGGTTAGTAAGTAGGTGGAGGCAGAATTTTGACATAGTTTTTGCTCATTTTAAGAAAGTCACTTTTACAGACTAAGTGCTTTTGGAAACTAATCCAAAGGAGTTTTGGGGGGCAGGCACTTCACCAAGCTAAATTGCATCACTAATGATTTCATGGAGATTTTTAATATGGATCTTCTATTTAGATTGCAGACACAGACCACAGCCAGGAAATCAGAAGACGTTTACTTCTTGGGAGGAGAGCTATGACCAATCTCGATAAAATAGTGAAGAGTAGAGACATCACACTGGCAGTAAAGATCCACATAGTTAAAGCAATGGTATTCCCCGTAGTAATCTACAGATGTGAGAGCTGGACCACAGGGAAGGCTGAGCAAAGGAAGATAGAAGCTTTTGAACTGTGGTGCTGGAGGAAAATTCTAAAATTGCTTTGGACCGCAAGAAGATCCAACCAGTCCATACTTCAGGAAATAAAGCCTGACTGCTCGTTGGAAGGAATATATTAGAGGCAAAATTGAAGTACTTTGGCCACATCATGAGAAAACAGGAAAGCTTAGAGGAGACAACTATGCTGGGGAAAATGGAAGGAAAAAGGAAGAGGAGCCGACCAAGAGCAAGATGGATGGATGGTATCCTTGAAGTGACTGGCTTGATCCTGAAGGAGCTGGGGGTGGTGAGAGCCAATAGTTCAGACGTGGGCTGGTCCATGGGGTCACGAAGAGTCGGAAGCAACTTAATGAATCAACAACAACAAATTTAGATTGGAGCTGTCACCAAGTTTCCAGAAATCATCTAAACTTTCTAAATTGGCACGTGTGGAGAAGTGCCAAGCTGTCCTGTCTGGGAATATAATTTAGTGGTCTGGGATGCAGACATATTTTAGCACCATTTCCACTCCTACTCTAAGGCCTTGCTGTTGAATCAGGATTTGAGGTTTCAGGAAATATTTCTCTCCTGTAGACCAGCACATTTCTGCCCTCAAGAATTAGCATCTCAGTGTCCCAGTGTTTCTGGTGTGGGAATCTATAAGCTCAGGGTTGTTTGTTTTTGCAATGGTCCTATTTTGAGATTGTCCTTGGAGTGACGTACACAAGGGTTAAATCAACTTGACCTGACCTACTAAAAGCACAGCACATCAGCGGATCATGGAAAGGTAAAAGACAGAAATTGGAAGATGAAATGTTTCATTGCTCTATGCTGAGCAACAGCCAAGACAAGATTTGAACCTGGGAAGTTGCAACCCTATAGATTCAAATAGTACTTCCTATCACTCTCCCTGGATCCTGAAATAAATCTCCATTCAGCTATAGAAGCAGCACAATCTTTGGAGTGGTAGCAAAAGATGACAAAATAGTACACCTGTTGATTGTACAGATTGCAGAACTTCTTTAACAGACAACCAATACACATTATGTGCATGAAATACCATGTAACCCCTTATTTGCAGAACCAATATATCCAGTTTCACTTATGCATCATTTCAGTTATTCAGTTATTCACTTAAGACCTCCAATACATGCTACACCTCATTACCTCTATTGTTCCTCCCAATGAAAATATTACGATTTGCTATTATCCATGGTAAACTATCCATGACTCTACAGTACTCAAAATCTGGTAACTTCTCTTCCATTGATATGAGGGTCGTATTGTATAAAGTAAGCTATGCTTTGCAGCCAGGGAAGTTATTGCACTAAAGCAGTGTTTCTCAACCTCCCTAATGCCACGACCCCTTAATACAGTTCCTCATGTTGTGGTGACCCTCAACTATCATTTTTTTCATTGCTACTTCATAACTAATTTTGCTACTGTTAGGAATCGTAATGTAAATATCTGATATTCAGGATGTATTTGCATTCACTGGACCAAGTTTGACACAAATACCCAATATGCCCAAATTTGAATACTGGTGGGGTTGGGGGTTGATTTTGTCACTTGGGAGTTGTTGCTGGGATTTATAGTTCACCTACAATCAAAGATCATTCTGAACTCCATCAATGATGGAATTGAACCAAACTTGGCACATAGATCTCATATGACCAACAGAAAATACTGGAAATGTTTGGTAGGCATTGACCTTGAGTTTTGGAGTTGTAGTTCACCAATATCCAGAGAGCACTTTGGACTTAAACAATGATGGATCTGGACCAAGCTGAACCAAACATATGCCCAAATGTGAACACTGGTGGAGTTTGGGGAAAATAGACCTTAACATTTGGGAATTGTAGTTGCTGGGATTTATAGTTCATCTACAATCAAAGAGCATTCTGTACCCTACCAATGATAGAATTGGGCCAAACTTTCCACACTGACCCCTATGACCAACAGAAATTGGAGTCAGTGTGACAATCCCTCTGACACCCCCTCACCCCCCCCCCCCCCCCAGTGGTCCTGACCCCTGATTGAGAGACACTGTACTAAAGCATATTCTTAAATAAATATGCATAGAATTGACTATTACATCTGGTCCTACCCACTTTGGTTTGGTTACACTAATGTTGGTATATGACCCACAAGATCCAAATCACCCAAGCCAAGAAAGGTTTCCTCACATTTGCTTTGTGCAGTTATAGATGAGGGACTCCTAATGTTACCAATGAGAAGTCATGAATCAACTATTTTCACTCATTAATAAAGTATCATCATCTGGAATACAAACACACACACCTAGGAGATTCAAAGTCAATCTCTTAAGTCTACAGTAAGTATTTTGTTCACCTTTTGTTTTGGTCTGATAAAGATATTACCCCAATATGTAAATCTGAATTTTTCAAAAGGACCAGCAGAGCTATCTCTGCCTTTGACAATAAGCATTTGCTAATGTTTCAGTCCTAGCAACATGTTTGTTTTCCTGGCTGAAGCTCGGGTACATTTTAGTCTATTTTTAAACCGTAGCTCTGACAAGGCGAGACCTTTTGGGGGAGAAACAAAGGAACACACTGAAGCATCCAGGCAAACAAAGCTGAGGGAACAAAGAACAAAAGCCACAAATACAGCCATTAGGTTATAATGTTGTTTTCCCTCCATTTAAGTGCCTGCAAAGATATCACAAGATAATATGAGGTTGGCATTTTCATAAAACAAAATTACTGTAACTTGGTTTCATCTAATAAAGAGTGCAGTTTGGCAAGCTGAACGAATGACTGCTTGCTATGATCAACAAGCACTTT